TTTGTCTAAAGAAAATTGAAAAGTAACGGATTTTTGCCTTAATTGCACTTCAGTTTATCCAAAAACCTCTCGTCGAATTTAAGAATTTTTAAGATCTTTTAAAAAGAGCAGGTAAAGGTAAAATTGCCGATAAATCAGAAACTTACCCAAAAAGCGGGTTTTTTTTCAAATCGTAGTAACGCGATACCTTAAATCAAATCGATCATTACGCGTAATCAAGCGGGTAACCGGTTAAAATTTCGAATCGCAACCTCTTCTTTAGACACTTCTATATTACATTTTATTTGTATTTAACGGAGAGAGAACCCCCTTTTGGTAAAGCAGCTGGATTTTTTATCGAGTTTCCCGGTAAATTAAGACTTTTTTTCACTATAATTTGAGCTGCTTTTAACCCCGATTCAGTAACCCATTGATATTTGGGTTTGGAAATATTATATATGTAATAACTTCACAGGAAAGTTTGGCTCGTCAATCAAATCTACCTGAGTTTGAAACATTTTTTTTTACCGGTAAAAAGTGGATAAATGGGGATTTAACAGCATGTGGCTGTGAGATTCTTGGTGTTAATTCTGTCGCTCATTTTTCTCTTGATATTGAGTAAATTAAGTCGATATTTTGTAGGGAAGTGTGAAATATAATGTTTTTACATTCTGCGACATGGTAGGTGATTTTAAGACCAGAAATCGCGTTTAGTAGACAAAAATACTTTGAAAACGACTCCAATATCATAAATAACGAAAAAATTATTTTTTTGAATGTTTACCCCCCCTTTTCTTAAAAATATTCTATTTTTTTATCTTGCACATAGGTTCTTAGAGTAAAAGTTTCAAGCTAAGGACAACAGGCCAATAACCAAAAGAAAATCAAGATATCTTGGATGTTTCTAGCGCTTAAAGTTAGAGGAAAAATATTTCAAAATTGAAAAATTTTGAAAAAAGTGGGGATAAACATAAAAAAAAATAATTTTTTCGTTACTTTCGATGTCGGAGTCGTTTTCAAAGTATTTTGGGCAGCTGAACATGATCCTTGGTTTTAAAATTGCCTAACAAGTCAGGATTTTGAGAAATTTGTATTTAAGTCTCAAAACACGTCTTTTTTTTATCGAAAATACGTCGATAGTATATATTTAGCAACCAATACATGTTTGTAACTATTCGTTTTCCGAATTTGAGCATTGAATAAAATTAAGTAGATGTTTTTTACAGAAGTGTGAAACATAATAAAAAAGGTCTGTAATGTGCAAAATTTTTTATATTTTTAGTATTATTTACTAATAACTTAATTTGTTAATGATAAATAGAACCGAACTTGACTTTAATTTTTTTATATGGAGATCAGGGAAGAAGACAAAAATCTGTTCGAAAATCGCAGAGAAAACGTAACACAATTGTGACGAACTTGTCGATCTCAAGTGAAAAAATTTAACCACTGTTTTTTTTTATTTAAAAATTTTATAAATAAAACAGTAATTTAATTTTTGTTTCTGAAGGTCATAGAGAAAACATTTTCCTCTTTTCTTTCTGTTTTGATAAATTACTTTTTCACTTTTATGTGGGACGTTTACCGCATGGCTTTAAAAGAATTAAAAAATTTGCATCTATTTATTGCAATTTAGCGTAATAGGGGTAAAATTTAAATTAACGTAAATATTTAACGCCATTGCAACACAATGTTTCTCAAATAAATTTTTTTCTGACTGTAATTACAAATTGTTGGACTTGAATAATTAAATTATGAGGAAAAATTAAGAGGAGAGTGATGAAAGGTGTAATAAAAGGGGGGAAGAATGAAACGTTATTTGCTGCTGTGTCGTAAATATTTCACGGCACACGTATTTATGCGATTCGTGTTTGCTGGCGCGGTGCTCGTTACCTTCTTTGCGTAAGAAGGCAAGGTGTGTTAATCTTAAGCAACGCCCCTTGCCAATGCGAGTTAATGCTTTCAGATTTATCGTCAGGAAAATATTATATGGACCTTATAGTGCTTTTTCGTTTTCACACGAGGTTTTAACGGATTCCCCGTGCAAATTCGCCGCTATGGCCCGCTCTCAGACCATCTCGATTGTAATGTATCGAGAACTAGAGGTGGAAGAGAAAAAAAGGCAACATCAATGATCCCCCTTCTTTTTTTTGACTTCTTGGAGCCTCCTACTGGTTATAAATTAAAGTCGACGATTCTATAAAGCATAAAGCGACCATTTTTTTTAGGGATACCATGTGTATTACGATTTATTGACTTGCGGTTTACAACACCTTCGACCTCAGAATTCTTCCGCGCGTTATAGGATTTCTATTAGATTTATAATCGATTTATCCCTTCGTGACAAGCTGTTCTTACGTTTATTTAAATATATCTATATATACTCGAGGTTCATACGCAGAAACTGGAAATCATGGAAAAGGAATTTTTATACATGTTCTCTGGAAATCATTGAAATGGCCTGGAATTTTTAAAAGTTCTCTAAAAAGTATAATAAAAGATTTAAATTTTTTGGTCTCTGAAAATTGTGCGGAAAAGACTTGGAATTTTAAAAAGTTTATACATTTTCAAGTTTTCCTTTTTTCTTTTCGATAAAAAAAATGTTTTTTACAACTTTACCCAATTTTCTCAAAATACTGACGTGTTAGGAAATTTTAGGATTCGGGATCGTTTTCAGCGAACAAAAATACTTTAGAAACGACTCCGATATCAAAAATAACGAAAAATAATTTTTTACCCCACTTTTTTCAAAATATTCTCTATTTTTTGGTCTTGCACTTAGGGTCTTAAAGTGCAAGTTTCAAGCTAAAGACAATAGGACAATTTATCAAAGGTAATCAGCCAAGATATCTTGTAAGTTTCTAGCATGTCAGGTTACGGAAAAATATTTTGAAAAAGTGGGGGTAAACGTAAAAAAAATAATTTTTTCGTTATTTTTGATATCGGAGTCGTTTTCAACGTATTTGAGTCAACTAAACAAGATCCCAGGTCTAAAAATTGAATAACACGTCAAGATTTTAAGATAGGTGGGGTAAAGTCTTAAAATACGTTATTTGTTATCGAAAAGAATTCGAAAACTATTATTTAATAACCAACACATGTTTGTAACTATCCATTTTTCTAGTTTCGAGCATTGAATAAAATTAAGTCGATGTTTTATATACGAAAATGTGAAAAATATTAAAGAAAGGGAGTAATTTGGAAAAATTTCAATATTTTTTATTTTATTTGTCTATTAATAATTAATTTAATTTGTTTAATTGTGAACGGAATAGAACTTATTTTTAATTTTCTTTAATAGAGATCAGGGAAAAAGCAAAAATTTATCTGGAAAAATCGTAGAGAAAACGAAAATCTATTTTCTATTAGGTACTCATTTTTCTCTTGATATTGAATAAATTAAGTCCATATTTTGTACGGAAATGTGAAATATAATTTCTCTAAATTTTGACATGCAAAGCAATTTTGTGATCAAAAATCGTATTCAGCGATTAAAAATACATTGGAATCGACACAGATATAAAAAATAACGAAAAAATTATTTTTTGTTTACCCCCACTTTTTTCAAAATTAGAATATTCTTTTTTGATTTCTGGTTTTTATTACCACTTTTGTTTAAAATCTGACATGCTAGGTAATTATGAGGGCTGAAATTGAATTTAGTGGACAAAAATACTTTGAAAAAGACTCCGATATCGAAAATAACGAAAAAATTATTTTTTTTATGTTTACCCCTACTTTTTCCAAAATGCTCTATTTTTTTGGTCTTGTACATAGGGTCTTAAAGTACAAGTTTCAAGCTAAGGATAACAGGCTGATATACCAACCAAAATTCTAGCCTGTAAAATTAGGGGAAAAATGTTTTGAAATTTTCTAATTTTGAAAGAAGTGGGGGTAAGCAAAAAAAAAAATTTTTTTTTTGTTATTTTCGATATCGGAGTCGTTTCCAACGTATTTTTGCTCGCAGAATACGATTTCTACTCTCAAAATTGTCTAGCGCGTCAGGCTTTTGAGAAAAATGGTGGTTAAGACCAGGAAAATATGGTTTGGTGGTCTTTACTCACACTTTTCTCGAAATTCTGACATTCTAGGCAATTTTGAAAAACCAGATCGTGTTCAGCAGACAAAATACAATATCAAAGATGAAAATAAGTTTTTCAGTGTGAAGTTAACTCAACGTAGGCAGAGAGTTAAAGAATTTTTATCGAAGACATTTTTCATAACGAGATATGAACAGGGCGTGAGGGAAGAATAAACACTATTTGTTTACTCTTCTAGGATCATCTCCTGAGGGAAATGAAACAGTGATGCGTTAGGATCTCATAACAGTAGTTGTGGAATCCCTTGTACACGTTCTCTTCCCCCTTAACGAGAAACTCACGTGTCCGCATATAGGGGCGGACCATCGATCACCATCCAATTGTTCTCCGTGACATTGGCTGAATGATGTTTTGGCATGAGCGCTGTGGGCAGATTGCGGAAGTGAATGCACCCGCGAATCGGAGGTGTGACAATCCTTAAAGTTTCGTTTCTTCTTGGGAATAACCCATTCTCTCTGTAATAATGCTATGAGATCTTGAACACCCAGCACACTCTACAGCTGTCTTCTCGAGTCTTGGTTGCTTCTTCATTGAGTTGATGGATCGTTAATCCCCATTTTGACCACGTATAATATTCTCAAGACCAAATATGCCCCTGGGAGGTGAAAACAACAGAAACATTTTCTGGGATCATGGAGATTAAACGTCACTTTGTTTGGAACACCAAGGGCGAGTTAAATTGCTTTGACGAATTGGATAGATTCTTTTTTTATATCTATATATCTTATAAAGACTACTTATGTTAGGAATTCGGGTTTTGATTATCATGTGAAAAAATATCACTTTTTTAGAAATAAAAATTATTTATAAATAGAAAAATATTTGTAGTGCTTAATAAAATCGTTAAATAATGTTAGAAAAAGTAATTATTGTTTTTTGTTAGATTTTTTTCTAAAAGGTATAAGTTCTGTTTTCTTACAGGTTGAATCCTAATGCCTCGGGGGAATTATTTCATAGAAACTCTAAAATAAGGTAAGAAATATTTGTTAAATAAATAAAAGTAGCCTTGTAATATAATAGTTAAATCTTTCAAAAATTATTTTTGATGAATAACTTTTTAATACAATTGAATTTAAAAAATATGTAATTAAAAAGTTTTTTGAAATAATTGAAATTTTATTCAAAATAATTCATTTTCTTTGAATATTTCTATGAAATTTTTACAAATCAAATATCGAAACACTTTAGTAGCCAATTCTGAAAATAATTGAATTATTAAAAATGTCAATGAGAAATCTTCAATTGTAAACTTAAAAATAAAAATTAATGAATATTAACTTGAAAAAGTTATATTGATATATTACGTTTTAACTCTCTGCTGATGCTAACGACCGTTATCGTCAAAAATCGTCATTCCGGACGCCTGGTGGGGACTATGGGAGTTACGTGCTTTGGCGATAGAGTGGGGATAAGTTAGCATCAGCAGAGGGTTAAAATTTATAGAATTTTTTTATTATAATTTTTGAGAAATAGTTTATTTTATTTTAAAAATTTTAATATTTTATTTATTTAATTAAATTTTCTAAAATTTCATATTATTTTTCAATATTTTTTTGTGTTTTTTGAAAATTAAAATCACCAAATTTAATTTTAGCTTAAACAAAATTCACGTTTGGTATAAAATGTAAGCTAGTTTATTCATAATAACATAGCTTGAAATTGTTTAAATAATTAAAAAAAAAATTTATTATTTTGTTAATAAAAAATTTATTATAAAAATATAAAATAATTTAATAGTACATTATGGAACAAAGGCGTATTATGGTCACTCTATGCTACCTGTGCCGGTGCATTCTAAGTTTTTCCATATAACCCAGCCGGTCAATAAAGTGTCCATTATTGCCCTAGGGTAATAATGAGTACTTTATTGCCCTAGGGCAGTAATGGACACTTTAATGACCGCTGGTTTATGAACAGGTAGATAAAATGACCATAATACGCCTCTGTTGCGTAAAATAATTTTCTGTTTTTGGACTTTAATGGGTTGATAACTTTACAAAAATTATGAAGGATTACAGATGTAATTATTAAAAAAAAATTAAAATTTTTGTATTTAAGTAATTGAATTATGGAAGAACTTTCGGAAAATTAATAAAAATAATTGATTTAGAGAAGAAGTTTAGTTGAAAATGCTAAATAATTTTCGAATTTTACAAGGGTTACAGTTGTAATTTTTAGGAGTAATTAAATTTTAAAAGGTGGAGAATTGAAATTTAAAAAATTATAATTTCTGATGAAAAATGAATATCAAGTAGGTATTTAAATATTTAAGTAACAAAATCATTGAAGTTCTGAATAATTGAATTTAGAAAGTAATTAAAAGTCAGGGAAATACAAACTGAAATTTACGCAAGAAGACTGAATAAAATCAACGACGTTTTTTACTGTTCTTATATCTTTAATTTTTTGAGCCTTTTGACTTTTTTGAGACTAAGAATGAATCCGAGGCTAAATATTTTCGTTTTTTTCAAATAATATACAAGTTTCAGTAGCAAAAATGTTTCCCTTGAAAGATGCAGATTAACGAAAAGAATTATTCTTACGGCGATGAATTTAAAAAGATTTAACGCCATGAAATAAATATTTGAAATGGAGAATATTTTTGTGGAAATTTTCATTTCTTTATGTTTGACAGGCGCGGAGATATTATCCGCGCGCATAATCTCTCGGGATGACAATATTTTTAATTCCGGTCAAGATGTAACAGGATCAGCGTGTCTCTGGGTAATGTTATACCAGTCCTGCCATGCCACTAATCTACTTTGGCCCCTCGACCAAGAAACGAACAGGGTTAACATTTAATCTCCTTAAGTTTTAGGCCCAAGAGTTGAACCATTTTGTTTTCTGCTTTGGATAAAGGCTAAACACCAAATCCTCTTAGAGACATCAGGTATCAAACGTACACCTCATACACATATATATATTTCCCAAATTTATACGTTTTCGGCATCGTCAACTCAATTAATTCACGATTGAGATCAACTGTATACGATCAGCATCTCAGTGTCACATCAAAATTAAATTTTTATCCTTCTTTTTATAAATTTAGTATAGTTGTTGTTAATTTTTCTCAAATATATCCTTCTTTTAAGAAGAAAATAATTATATTCTTCTTAGAGTCGTCCACGTAGAAATGAAACTATGGGCATAAACTATGTCGAATCATGGGAAGAAAAAACAAAAAAAATTTTATTTTTTTTCAAATCCATTTTTTTAAAATTTAATTTTACGAAAATTCAATTATTCAGAAATTCTTCAATTAAATGCATATTAGAAAAATATAAACTTCAAATAATTTCAGAAAAAAATTGAATTAAACTACAAATAAATTAATTCTACAGAATTGTTGATTATAAGTGTGAAAAATTAAGATTTTCAAAGAATTTAATTTGAAACCTTTTCAAAATTCAATTATTTCTTAAAATTCATGCTATGATGCTTTTAATATTCAAATATTATTTGAATATTTCAATAATTTGAAATATAAATATTCAAATCTAAAATTTTAACTGAAATTCATTTTTAAATCAATTTTTAAGAGGAAATTCTACGAGAATTCAATTATTTAAATGCAAAAATAAATAATTTATTGAATAATTAAATATTTCTTAAAATTGAATTCTCATAAAGAATTTTATCAAAACATTGTTAAATAATTGATTTCTTTATACGATTTTTAATAAAATTGTTAGGAACAGTGACATTTTTCGAGGAATTCGATTAAAATTGTATTAAAAAAGATTGAAATTCTGCGATGAGTTTTATTTATGAAAATAATTGAATTCCTATAAAAAGAATTTTTATTATTCATGAAAAGAATTCAATCCTAGTAAAAATTTTTATTATTTATTGAAAATAATTAAATTATTGAGAAGAAATTTATGAAAATTTTGTAAATAGCAGAATTCAAATAAAAATTGAGGAAAATTTTTGAAAATAACTGAAATTTTGCCAAAAATTTTATAAAAAATTTTTAAAAAATTGAATTTTGCCAAGAATTTTATTAAAAATTTTAGAAATTATTGAATTTTAGAAATGAATTTGATTACTTTTGAAAATAATTGAATTTATGCAACCATTTATAATTTTTCCAAAATTCAAATTTTTTTTAGTGTTTTTGAGTAAAATTGGTCTATAAATCCACTATTTTTAATAATTAATTAAATATATATTAAAAAACTTAACAAATTTCAGAAGAATTAGAATTATGAAAATTTTTAAAAACCTAAGTAATCTCTAATGAAATTCATTGAAAATTTAAATTTTGTAAAATTTCAATGTACGTCTATTTATGAAAATTGTAAACGCAACTCTTTGAAAATTCAATTTATTTTAAACTATATTTAATTAAAATTATTATACCAGAACTTAGACTTTTGTGTATGATTTTATTCTTTTCAATATTTCTCATTATGTATGCATTTAGCCCTTTTTTTACTTTTATTTTCAAAATGTAATTTAATATGAAAATGAAAAATGTTTTTCAGTATGTTTATGTACCATACAAAAAGAAACCACACGCGCGCGTTGTTTTAGTCTAGTAATAAATAATTAGAGATTGTAAGGATTAATATTGCGAATCTCGTTTTTATTGCTATTATTGATAATATTTTTATCTCTATTTACCGAGTGTTGAAAATTTTGAATATTTGATTTTTCTCCAAATGATAAAAAAGTTGTGTCGTTTTGACATTTTTAGAAAGTCAGTAAATTCGTGTGTGACGTGAAATTAAAAAAAATATTCATATTTATAATGATTTGATTTCATTATACATAGCATCAAGAGGATATAATAGATGTTTATTTAATTCCTCGTAAAGTTCCTTATTGGAAACCTGTTGACGACTAATCTGCGTCAAGGAAACATATTATAATACTAAAAAAAAGCACTAAAAAAAAGTGATGAAGACAATCGAATCTGACCACCCACGTGCGTGACAAATGTTGATATTAATGACGAGATAGAGACCCAATTGAAGAAGGCACACACAACTGCTTTACTGATGATTCAGATATATGTTGTCTCTTTTAATTAAAACATCATTTTACTTTTATGCCTCTCATGAATTTTTTCGAGAAACTTATTGCCAATGCTTCTTTATTCTTATAATGTGATGACTTTTCAGGAACAACTTTTACATTTATATATTCATTTTTTAATTTACTTTATCACCTGGTTGTCTATTTCACAAGTTTTTTGTACCTGCCTAAAATATTTTTGGATAATCTAAATTCATATTTACTAAAATATAAATATATAACATTTTGAAAGATGTGAAGAAATATGTATATAAAGATGGAATCTAATTAATTAGAGACAACAATTTGTGTTTAAGACACGGTTTGTGAATTTGTGACGAAAGGAGGGGAGGAGTGGGGAGATTAGATTTAGAAAACGGATACGAATGTTCCGTATATATGTCGCTTTTGTATTTATTGTTAAATGTAAAACAAGAAATATGAGGTCATTTTTGCGGTTGCACGATGAACAGGTAGCGAATTATTAACATGGCTGAATTTCCTGAATGATTCTTTTGAATTTCTGACAAAATGAAGCCGCGGTGTGTAATTAGTGAGAGCTGAGTGAGATAATTCTAGGTTGTCTGTTAACACGTCACTCAATAAAACTGAAGTAACACCCTCTTTTCTTGACGTTTAAACTATGCTATTGAGGCAAACAGTAATTAAACTTTCGCTACAATTTTTTTTCACCACAAACTAATTGTGAGGGAATAATTAAATTAATCTCTTTTACATATGAACAATAACGAAATTAAAGTCAACCCTCATGGATAAAAAATATAATTTTGTAATTGAATCACCTATAAACTCGATTTAAGAAAATTTTGAGATAATAAATTTTATAAGAAAAAATTTTTTTAACAACATTTTTTTATTCTTCTTTAAAGAAGATTGTGTATTAGGTCATAGGTATTTATTTTATTTTTAGACTTTTTTTTAAAATTTCGGCC